TGCTCTCACTCAGTTTCTGGTGAGTCCTCTCAAGCCCCTACCCTCTGGTGTATACCCCAGTTCTTGTAAGGCATAAATGAGTAAAACAAATCTAGCAGGGTGGGGAAGAAAGAAAAAGAAATGACAGGAGGTTGGGCCTGGCTGCCTGGAGAATCAAAAGATAGTGGGACCAAACCAAGTTGGAGGGACACACTGGGCAAGACAGCACCAGAGGCTGGATAAGATCAACAAAGGAACCAGATTGGCTCCTCAGGGCCACAGAAAGCTGGTACTCTGACAAGGGAATAGAATTTAGTGATGGAGAAGCCTGGATTAGATGCTCAAGGACTGGCATACATTTGGGTGTAACTAAGGATATCTGTCAGTCAGTGGCCAAATCTGATTCCTGGTTTGGGGGCAAAGGATATGTAATCACAGACCCCAAGGAGAATATTAAACCAGGTATAGCAAGAATAACATTTTAATTATTAGGACTTGGGAACAAAGCCAGTAAATAATTTTGGGAACACAGGAAATCTAAGTTTTCTAAACTGGGGGAAAAGAGCAGAGTCAAAAATTTTTGAAATGAAGTGGAATGCTAGAGAGTCATTTACTTAAAATCAGTGATGACTGTACATGGGAAGGTTAATGTCAGGATCACAGCGGGGCCCTAATATTTGTCAACTCCTCTTCTCTCTCCCAAGACCAACAACTAGGTGGCAGCCCTTGAAAGCCCAGAGCACACTCAAAAGTGGTTTCTGTCCCAGGTGTTAAAAGAGTATAATGAATCTAGTCAATCTTCTTTTCTAAGACACTTAAAGGTGCTGAAATCATTGGACAATGGTACATTTTGTGTCCTCCGCATTTAACAAGATCTTATTCTAAAGGCCCTATTCACCCAAATACTGATTTGCCTGCAGAGACCTTTACCAATATAAAACTTACAAAAACAAATGCTTGCTTTATTCCCTTGTAAGTTACATTACACAAGTCATCTCCACTAACACTACCAAATGCGGATTTTAAATATGTCTATAGCCACTGAACATTAGTGGTTACTGACAGTATTGGTTTTAAACTGTCAAACGTAAGGGGGGTCCTCTTGCATTTTAACCCTCAACCAACGGGCATTGAGTGGTTCTGATACAAGGGTTTACACAGACATCACTTCATAAAGCAGGCACAATTTAAAAAACTTACAAGCAGCTTTCTGCTGTTGCTGCCATACAAGGCTTCAACACTGAATGTAGCTTAGCACAAAATAACCCACTAGAAGAGCACATACCAAGTGATGAGACTATGTATGTGAAATAAACTTTCTTACACTGATCTGTGATTCAGCAACATTGCTCGAGAGTGGCAAAATGCCGGGGGCTCTGTACCAGGGAATATACCCACATGGTTGCCCAAGTCTCTGAAAGATATGCCAGCACAACATGCCACAATTTGGCTTCATGTTGGAAATTACATTCCTTAAAAGCATTCTTCTTTGGTAGGTTACATGCTTGCAACCACAAGCACACACATCCAACTCTGTTCTTCAGACCACTTTTTTTAAGTAGCATTTGCTGATATTAAGTAAGCATGTCACGGGGTCCTCATGTCTATCTTCCCTTTTATCCATCCTGGAGATACTCTGGGTTTGTCTAGAAATCCAAGTGCAAAGCCACAGCTACAACAGCCTAAGCAGTGACCATGTCTCACCCTGGACAAATGACTATAGCCACAAGTCAACCCAACTGCAACTGTGGATAAAGTCAATATTGAACCTTATCCAAATTTCATCAGTCTTCCTCCTTCCACCTTAATTTTCTAAGCCCAGCTTTACCTAGAAAACATTGCCACTCATTTTCTTATTAGAGGGATGAAACATTTTTATTATGACTATTTAAGACATGTTAGAGTTTTCTTTTAATTAATACTGGATAATTTAAAAAGAACACATCTTTTCTAGAAATGTCACTAGTAAAATGCATCCAATTTTTCTCTAATGTGGAGCTTTCCCTGTCCATAAAACTTATTTGATTAGCAGTACTATAGAAGCTAAAGCTTTTGTACGCAGGCACTCAAGCATAATTTAATCATTTTATTTAAGCATGAAAAAAATTATTCTGAAAGCCCTGTTAGGTAAAATATCCCTGATTAGTTTAAACTTACATTTGCAGGTATATTAAGGGTGAAATAAATCATAGAATGCTCAGTATGCAGTGCAACAGTGTTAACTTGGTTATAATAGTCAGCAGTCAGTTAAAAATTGTAGTATTAGAGAATGTAAGGAATAACTGTCTCATTTTAAATAACTATATTTATACAGGTTATTTTAAAATAAATTTTGTTTTGTGTGAACCCTTTTTATATTACCAGGATTTTCACCTATGGAAACCTCTTTCATAGTCAAACAAGATGAGGTCCTAATTGCATAATACCATTTATCTGCTGAGGATAAAAATGCCAACAAATGAAAATGCACATTAGGCGAGAGATTGTCAGAATAGAAAATTGTCTTTTATTTTTTTTATTTTTTTGTTTTTTTGTTTTTAAATAACCCACTCACATTAACAAAAGACTGCAGTAGCTTCCAAATTATAGGTTGTTATTTTTAGTGGAAGTAGTTCAATATTCATATTGGAGCAGATGTAGCAGTTTAACAAAACAGCTCTTCAAATCCTGCACAAATTGAAAACAGGAAAACTGATTGCATTTTCTCTTATCACTTTCCTTTTCTGAATTGACACTTTTGGCCTACTGAAAATTTACACATGGCTTTCATCTCAACAGCACCTGCTGATCAAATAGAAACCTAACATTTTCATGAAAATGGTATAAAGAACTAGTTTTGTTCTAAATGCTGTAAAGGGCATCAGTTGCCTACTTGGTGGCAACAATTGCTGTGTTATGCTAAGGCATATTCATAATAGTTTTAATATTTTCATTAAACTTTTTTTTTTTTAAATGCCAAGTCCCAGGGTTTTTTCCCCCTCTAGCCACTTTTGGTATGATTCAAATTTCTTTTATCCCATATTGCCTAACACTTAGTTTTATTGTGCAAAGTCTATATACAAAATATGTTAAAGTGCAGATTAAGACAATGAGCACTTAGTATTTTTCTGCAACTGTTTAGAATACACATGTTTTAAAAAGAACAGAATACACATGCAGATATACTACAGACTACACATGACCATGGACGAAAAGATCTATGCTCCATTTTTGGATTCCACCGGCCAAAAGAAAACAGGAAACAAAAAGTCAAAGTCAGGCCCTATTTTTGAAGGGGCTTTACATATTCTTTTATCAGATATAGATTTAGCAGGTGCTTGGATGTTTGCTACCCCAGACTGGGAAGAAACAGATGTCACCCAAACACAAGCTGGTAAACATCTAAATGGTCTGACCAACAACTCACTGTAAATACCTCCAGGGAAGGAAAAGGTACATCTTGAAAATGGGTCTTCTCATGTGTAAAATATCCAAGAAAGGTAGCTGAGCTGTTTCTAGATTTTTAAATTAAAGTACTTCATAGATTTCTGTGTGATACCCAATTCAGGGTAAAATTAAAGACGCTTCTAAGACATGCTCACTGTCAGTTTCTTAGCCCAAAGAGCACTATACCCCTTCTGAAAGATTCCAGGCTGTCCATCCCCATTCTGTCTGAGTGATATGGTAACATAAAGGCAGAAATGACATACAGTAATATATGTGCCACTCTGACCAGTTGGTCTGTGAATTTCAGTGTTTCATCATGCTCACTGAGGCAAAGGCAAACCTGAAATGTCAATATGTTCAGTCAATGGAAGTGAAATAATGGGACTCTATTGTCTTACCCAATCGATCTCGATCTGCCGCTGTCAACAAGGAAACAGGCCCCCCTGGCTTTAAACAAATTTTAATTAGGCTTTTAGTTACTGGATCATATTTATCTATAAAAACACCTACCTAGACAATGAGTAGGAGGCAAAGACTTTTTTTTTTTTACTTTTTCCCATTCTAAGAATATTGCAAAGTTGATACTGTAATTTTTAAAATACATTCATGAGTCAATAAAACATTTTCTCTTTTTTTTTAAACCAACTCCAAGGAAAAAGGCCCATGGTTCAAATCCAAAATACAAAACGACCTACTTGATCTGATTCTTTTTTTTTTCTCTAGACCTCGCTGAGACCATGCTATAAAATCAACTGATTCCACAGTAAAAGTGGGCTTCATTTGCTTTCTCACTCATCCAAGTACCACTGTTAGCCTCGATGCATCACCCATTCCAAACAAGTCATACCAAACCAAACATGAATGATCAATTCAAAAAGCCCTCTAACCTTTTTGCTCAGTTTATCAATCTTAAACAGAAGTGGAAATTAAAACTCCTGTTCAAATACCCGAGGCGATGCTGAGAAGGGCAGGGGTGGGAAGAGGAAATCAAGACACGTAAGTCATGTAAGTCATTCTCAATTCACGTAAGTTCTACAGCCCTTCTTTCCACCAGAAGGGAGGCAATCTCACCTTAAAATAAAAACGAACTAATCAAGTTGTTCAGCAGCTTTTTCTCTTCCCTCTTCATCTAGAGGCTTCAACGTCCAGTCAATAAATAATCCATTGTTCCCCCTTTATCGAGTCTCTTTAAACCTATTCAGACTGGCAAAACTAAACCCAATTAAAGATAAGGCCCTCCAGTAATCTCACCTCAGTGAGTCCTGTCTGGATAGCAGAGGTGATGGGAGATAGCGGCCAGGCCGGGACTGATGCCTCCTCCTCACCCCACACAACAAAAGGCAGATTTCTCTTTCTCCCTCTGCTAATCTTTAAATGTAAATTCTCTCCGCCAGCTAAGAGGAGCGACAGATAACATGTTACATCTTCACTTCTCCTGGTCTTATCGACTTCTGAATCATTTGGAAAGGGAGAGCGGGAGAGAGAAAGGCAGCCTCCCCGCGCCCCCCCCACCCCCGCTCCTTCCCACCCCTCCTTCCTCTCTGCTCGTTTCCCCTCCCTTCCCCTCCCCTCCCCTCCCGGTTCACGGAGATTACCTTCTGGCAAAGCAGCGCAGGAGAGCCGGCCGCAGCCGAGGCGGCACCCAGACCGCGGCTTTGTATTCATTAAACACACATCGGAGCTTATCAGAAGTAAAAGGCTTGTCAGGATGGCACATTGTGTGTGAGTGAGTGTGTGAGCGCAGGAGGGAGAGGAGAGAAGCCAACGTGCATCAGGGTGATTACAATATCAGCAGGGCCCAGATGGAGGCAGGAAAATAAACAGAGGGTGCGTGTGAGACAGAGCGGGAGAGGGAGGAAAAGTGGGGGGGGGGGGAGAGAAGACACGCAAGCTGAAGGGAAAGAACCAAAGGCATGGAGGGGGTGGGAGTTCAGGCCCCAGGATGGGGATGGAAATGGGGAGAGGTACCTCAAGGCTGGCTGAGGGTGACAGCCAGGGCAAGCGGTCCAAATCTGCCCCTACTCCAAGCAAAGGGGAGGAATCCGAACTAGCACACTGTATTTCCCAGCTCCCGGGCGAGGGCGAGACTGAGGACGTTTGGGAGGTTCTGTCAAGGTCAGAGGACCGGCCAGAGCTCTCTTTTGGCAGAGCATAACAATGAGACTTTCACCCCCTCACCTCCATCCAAATAGGCACAATTTGCAAAATGAACCCAGTGAGTCCTCACAGCAGCTCCACAGCCTAGCAGGCCAAGCTCAAGTGGAGTTCTAGTGCTCCTCTGGTACTCAATGCCAAGCCACCCCCTCCCCTTCCCCACACCCAGAAACAGACACAGGCGGTCAGAAATAGCTCCATTCCCAGGGCTGAAGCATGTCCCGGCAGAAGACTGGCGGGGGCCGGCATCACCGTGATAAGGACCACTTGTGATTGGTAGCTACAGGTGACTCTTAGACACCTGCTCCACCTCCAGAAATTGTGTGTTGGGGGAGGGGGTTCATCTGAGAGTATTTTGGAGGTGGGAATTTGAAATTGAGACAATCAATCTCGGCCTGAGCAGCCTTGCAGCTCTTCACCCACCCAAAGCCTAGGAATCAATCAGAGAACAAGCAGAGGCTAATGCTCCGCCGTCAGATCAGAGTTCATCCTCCACCCCAGCAGGGTCAGGAGGGAGATACACCTGAGTAGTCTCACGGGAGCCCCTTTTCACTTTTAAATGCACCCATCAGACAATCAGAACATCTGATCAGATCCTTAATGGAGTGCAGATAATGCAGCAAAGGTTACTTGATTGGGGGAGAGGCAGTATTTGGTTGTGTTGTGTTTCAAGTCACTGAAGCCTGGTTAAGAAGCTCTGAGTTCAGAATGATGTAGCCATTAAGCTACATAATTGTTCCGCAAGCACACTATACCCCAGGTGCAGTGAAACTCTGGGTTATAGAATAGTTTATTCATGGGGTCTTAATATAAAGAGGGGAGCAGGGTGGGGGGAGGGGACAGTAAAGCTAGTGTGTAGAGAAAACCACGGAAGAGCAAGACACATTTTTAAGAAGCCTTTTAGAAATGAGGAGGCATTGTTTAATCAAGCTCTATCCCCCAAATCTCTTAGCCCAAAAAGTGTTATGTGCAGTGGATCCTCCCCTTCCCCCCTACTCCATTCCCACTCCAAGAAAAGAATTAAGAGAAATTGGATAAAAAAGGCAAAGTGAAAAAAGCTGGGCATAGGTGGAGGAAGGACATGTGTGAAAAATCTTGTCATGCAATGAATGTCAGATAAAAAGGGGTCTGTCACAATCTCCCAATAATCCAATAATGTGGAAAACCTTGTGGCATCACTGAAACGACAACAAGGTACTATTTCTCCATATAGCTTCAAGAAATGCCCAGATTCAATAGTTGGAGAAGAGCACAAAGGTAAGATGTAAACTATTTGGCAGGATATATTACAAAATCCAGCGAGCTCTATGGGTAAAAATCTCATTCTTACATGTTTTAAATTCAATAACAGGCTTCTGGAGTTTCATTTTAGTTCTCATACATGGGCTGTTAAGGAAAACTGCGTTCCGAACAACCAGACACAACCACACGTACCTTCCTCATCATTGAATTTTAGTTAGCTCAATTTGGGCACGGACTACATGCAAACACTTATTAATCCAAAGCAACTCTAGGAAGAAAAAATATATACAATTTACAAACCCCCGGTGATTTTTCCACTACATGCTCTCTAAAGAGACACTAGTTTTAAAATCTACACTACTTTCAAGCCCAGAAAAGGCTTCATTTTTCTTTAGAAAGCATCCAAACACTAAGGGATATAAGAAAACCAAGCAAAGTTAATCTGCCAATGTTCTTATTTTATAAATGGCCCGTATTTCTATTACTACCTTGTTTGCTCGTTGACTTCTGGCTCAGTTATAGAAAAGATCAACCAATTCTCAAATGGGAAGAATCCAAGTCTCTCTTCCAAACACTTTGCTGCAAAGCTTTCAATCTTGGGGAACAAAAAGGCTATATAATAATCGAGAAATATAATCACATCTTAAGTGCACAACAGAAAGTGGTTTTCTATAATCACAGCTGTCTTAAAGTCCACAGAAGAGACTGAAAATCTTAATTTCAACTAGTTCTTTTCTTAATAATAGGTTACCTTCCTATAAAAGCAAGAAGTCCATCTGCCCCAGGCAGATAAGTTTTGAAGCATTAATTCAGATAAAAATCTAGCATTTTCTTTCTTTGAGTATGTGAATTCTAGTGTACTATAATGTGAGAATTCCAACATATGACCATTATAGCATGATATCTCATTGCTCAGCTTGTCATTATTTCATTTGTAATTCTTATGTTAATTATGTTCATAATTACTATAAACAGATGTGGTAGACATTCATGTGACCTTTCATTGTAGAATGCATTCCTCACTCATTTTGCTTTAATTTCTCATGTATGTGAAACTGAAATGCAGAAAAAAAGGAAAGGCTTTCTAATTTTCTAATGTTTCACTGAATAAGTTAAAACTACCTCCTACTTCATCTGCATTTAAAAATATAAGAATATTTTTAATATGTAAACTGCTTTACGGCATATTTTAAAATTGCACACTGAACTCTCACTGCTGCTCACTAAATTGTAGCTAAGAATGCCAAACAAAGGCTAGCATCCATGTCTAAGTTGTTTGTCTTTTTTTTTAATATCAAAGGTTAATGCAGAATTATGCTTCAACACCTAGTGCTTAGCTGCTACATAGCGATTTATTCACTCATAACTCAACCATCACTCTCTTTACCTAAAACACATTTACAATAAAATCAGTATGGATTTCATTAGCTGAAAACCTCCTCAAATTTCATTTCTTTGGCCCTAATCTATAATTAGTGTGGACAGACAGGTGCAAACCCTTCTCTTCTACAGATGGCTACTGGAAATGGCGCAAAGTAGCTCCTTCTGTTTAAACAACACAGAGATAACCTGCTCTGTCTTATCATTTACAATTACCTCCATTAAACTGAACTAATGTTTGCTTTAATAAAATGTTCACTGCTTTTTAAACATTATTTAGGAACTCTTATATTAATGGTGGTTAAAAAAAAGTGAAATTGGAAGGTGTCTCTTTAGGTGATAATAAATAACTTTCTGGGTAACATGTTCCCACTGATGGGTAATAATCTCATGTTCACAAAGATGTTCTTGTTGGTTTAATATTTGTTGGTTATTTTGCACAAAAAGGTCAAAAATTATGTGTTAACAAGGTACATAGATGACAGACAAAATTTAACAAGAAAAGTGAGAAGCATTTTTCCTGAAGTATAAAAGCATGAAAGCTTTCATTTTTTTTCTTATAGATTTTAGTTATTGAAGTATTTAACTCGTTAAGATCCAATTTTTTCCAAGGATATCATATTAACCTAATTTTGTGTCTTTATAACTTCTGATAAATCATTCCTAAAGTTGTACATCTTTTAAGACACATTTTAAAAATTAACTATGAACCTAAGTGTTCCCTGTAAGCATAGGGTTAAAAATAATTTCATTCCAAAATATATAACTTCTATAAAACCAGAGATCACTTCCCTCAGTTTCTGCTATCAATAAAATCTAAGGAACACTAAATGATGAATAAGGTGTTCATAAAACAAAGAACTTTGAAATGCCCAAACAGCAACAAATAGCTTTTCTCACTGAACTTACATAACTTACAGTAATAAACTCCAGTAAAATGCAACTGTCTCATTTTTTTCACATGCAAATCTTGCAGGTGCCAATTTTTCAGACTGCTTTGCTATGAAGGGCTATGTTGCCTGCATAAAACCTCAATGAAGAAGGCTTTGCATTCAGTGCCTGTCAGCTGATGTTCATATCAAAGAAGTGAGAAACAGGATTTGACAGTGAAGAATGTCCTAGACTGACAACCACTGACCAGCATTCCTATTGGAAGCATTTCTTTCTTGTGATCCCTTTTCAGTGTTTAAAAAAAAGGGAGGAAGGGAGGGGTTGGTTAAGCTTTATTTTACAATAAAATAAATGATAATGCATCTTATATTTGTGTACTTCTTTGCAGTTTATGAAGTGCACTTTTTTCAGCAAATATTTAGATGAACACCGTCAATGGAAAGAGGGCTCATCATCAAAATCAATATTGTGCTTCTCTCAGAAAGGGTAATTTGTAAAATGATTTAAAAGCTGCAGTTTATCACAGCAACACAACTCTCCTGCTCTTTCCATGCAACTTGCAATTTCATAGTATACTTAGCATTACATTACAAATAGGATTCTTCAAATTAGAAGCCTTCAAATCTAAGGCTCATTTCAAAAATCAAATTATTCTTAGGTCATAGACTACATCTAACAAGGAAAATATCAGTTCAAAGAATGCTGGTCTGTAAGTTGTTCAAATATTTTTTTTAAAAATTAGACCCTTTTCTTCACTTTTTTTCTTTTAACTCTGACCTGGACTCTGGAAAAACTATATACTCAAATTCTCTCACTCAATATTTAGCTTTTCAAAGAAAGAGACCACTGTCTGAATGGTTCACAATAAATTTATATCTAAACCAAGACTTCTTTTCATTTAGTATAATCTTAGATAAATTCAGTTAAGTACAAATAAGCCTGATTACTTAGCTATTTTGTTAAAATTTTGTATCTTTTGAAAGAATAAACTGAAGAAATAGCAAATGCTACATATAGCACAAATAAAGAAATGATAGATTTCATCTTCTGCAACATCATCCTGG